CCAGCCGCTCGCAGCTGCCCCCTCCCCAGAGCTGCCCCCTCGGATGAAAGCCTCCCTACCAGAGGTGTCGGGACTGCCGTGGGGCGTCGGGGAGGCGGCCCACGGCCCCAGGGGCTGACTGAGGAGGTGGAAGGCCCCGCCCTGCCCAGGAGGGATAATGCTGGTCCTGGTCACACTCCTAGGACCTCCCCTGGAACCCCGGGCTCTGCCCAGCGCCCCGCCCCCTAGTGTGCCAGCTGCGTTCCTGCTCCTGCTCACTCCCCGCCCCAGGTTCCTCCTGACAGCATCCCGTCCGTCCCTGACTCATGTGGACCCAGGTCCTCGCCTCGGCGCTGCCTCTGGGGGCCTGGCCTGAGACACCATCTGCCCCAGCCCGGCCGGGTGCCCACCTGTAGCACCAGCAGCATCTGCACGATGGCGGGGGGCACGCGGGCGTGGGCACGGGCCAGCGCGTCCTCCAGCTTCACGCTGAGGGTGATGGTGTTGCGGAAGTGCAGCAGGGCCAGCTGGCGCACCGACGGCTCCTTGCCCTGCGGACACAGAATGCGCAACGCCCGCCAGTCACGGGCGACCCCAGACACAGGGGCAGGGACTCACTGACCTGTCACACACACAGCCCCTACTGTGCGCTGAGCACGGCCTACTACGTGCTGCTCAGGCTTTGTAGGGCTCTTAGGAAGGACCTGCCTTATTTCCATCTTGTGGGTGGGAAGCAGGTTCAGAGGGCCGGGGGCGGCGTGCCTGGCCCTGCTATGGGTGCAGACAGCCCACAAAGGCAGCGAGGGGCAGAAGGGTGTCCCTCCCCAGGCCAGGCCGGGCCGTCACCGTGGCCGGGGGGCCCGGGGTGTCGGGCTGCTCACCTGCACCGGGTAGAAGATGGCCTGCAGGGTGGGCAGCACGTCGCTGAAGAAGAAGTCCCACGTCTCCGCCAGCGAGTCCAGCAGCTTCTGTCCTGTGGGCACAGGAGCCGTCACTGCCCGTCCGAAAGGTGCAGCAGAAACTCACACCCTCCCGGGTCGGGTCGGACTGACCTCGTCTCCCGTCTGCAGGATGCGGTGCTCAGGCTGGGTCCCGGGCCCGGAGGCGCCTCTGAGGCAGGGCCCAGAGCCCTTGGCAGCTCGGTGGCCCGGGGTCCACGCTAACCGCCTGTGCCTCAGTTTCCCCATTAAGATGAATGAAACGAGCTAAACAGGGCCTGGTGCAGAGGAAGTGCTGGTGTGCAGTG